GTGAAAAACACAACAAGGTTGTAGAGGTGAAATGTACGGTCATATCAAAAAGTCAACACATCCCATGGAAGTGGTCGGCATTTTGTCCATATCTGAACAGGCAAACATTTTGTCCTCACTGATACAGTGCCTGCAGATGGGAGTGATATACTTGGAAGGATTTTTTTATTTTTTTTTCAATCACCTACGCAATTAAAATATTAAAAGATGCAATATTCTTTGTTGGGCCACTGGTCCCTTGTTGTGGGAGGTAAGTGACTCTTTCTTTGCTGTGTATGAGTAAAAAGCTCACCAGCATCATTATGAATTTATCATCGGCCAGAAAGTGTGTAAGGCCACAATTTCAGTACAACGGTTATCCAAGTGTTGCTTACTGTGTTCACTGCCCTAAATCAACGAATAAATGTCCTGTTCATGTGAAGTTTCCAAAGTAACCTGGTGTTTACTTTATGTGCTCTACAAATTTGTAAAGAAACTGAGACGATTGTGTTGTTAGTATGAGGTGTCAGCAATAAAAAAAACATATTTTACTAGCATATGGAAAAATACAGACTGCATTTCATTCATTTCAGATTATTGAGTTATTGATCGTTTGTGGAGCTATCTCCAGGTTGAGGAAATGGTTTAAAAATGAAATCCTCACAACTTACATCCCAAATACACCAAACTTGTGTCTGTTTCCTGACAGACTGACATGACAGCATCCCAAAGCTAGGATGTTCAAAGAGAAGATGGATAGTTTTCCAGATCAAAACATGGAGCTGAGAGTTGACTGATAAAATCATGACAAAACTGCTTTTTTTTAAAAATAATTCTGAACTTGTAAATAGGTGGTGGGTGCATACCATCAAAAGAAGCACTATAGTCAGCGGTGAAACTCCTCATACAGATCTCTAAAAAAGGGTGTCTGATGTCTCATTTCCTGCTATATTAAATGATCCAACCCGCAACAACAAGCACACACACTTGAGCCCACCCTGATCAGCTAAAGAACAGAACTGCAGAACACCTTGCAGCTGACCAGAGGTGGACATCAGGATGAGTTCAGAACAACAGCAGAGAACTTCATGTTTTGTTTGTTTTCTTATTTAATTCCTTCTTACTCCAACCTCCCCTCTTAAAAATAGAAAAATGAAAATAAAAAATTAACAAGCAGCATAGTTCAGTCAATTTATTCCATCATCTGATGATCAGTTCTGCTGGCTCTGCCCCATGTTGCTTGGCATCAAATCAAAGTCATCTGCTCCAAACTTCAGTTATGATTCAACATAAGATGTCAAGAGAACCAATACTTTAGTGCCAAAATTCCTTTAAAAAAAGTGATCTGATGTTTGGTAGCTGGAGTGAAGATGCTGATAGATAGTGGACAACACAAACAACAAATCAACAAGTCTGCTGAGAGCACACAAACACCACCAGGTCTGTACAGAGACTTCCACAAGTTAGCTGTACATCACCACATGTCTGAAACAAGCTCAAGCTGAATGTCAAAGCTGATAGCGAAGTAAAAGTGCACATGAAAATCTGAATAGTCGATCATCCGTTAAAATAATGCAACGATTATTCGACCGAAACGGTTGCAGCCCTGCCACAAACACACAGTGACTGGTGTGCTACGTGACAGTAAAGCACACACCAGCAGCTCAGTCGCAGCAGTTTTTCCTCCTCAAACCTCCCGAGTTTCGCTGTGAAGCCGCAGCAGAGTTGCAAAAGTTGCAGAGAACAAAAGCAAGAAAAGCAAAGCAGAAAAAAGCGCAGTCTGCGTCCTGTCGCCAACTTCCTGAACAGATCTGCGCTGAGATTCAGACGCTGCAAGCGCCGCTTCGTCTTACCTTGTTGCACTTTGGTTCAGGAGACAAATCCGTGTGTTCTTCTCTGGTTTCCACATCGGCCTGTCACCGAGTCTCTTCAACGCTTCTCCTACTGTGAGACGCACGCACCGAACCGTAGCACGACTCCATTTGTTTCACCGACACAAGCTGCGGCTGCGTTCAGGGCTGGGACGAGTCTCAGCTCCTCCCGTCAAGCTCGACAACACGGACAGCAAACTGTTCCGGTGTCGTGCCACAATGATCGTCTGTCATGCTTTCATCTGGGGAGGACTGTCATAAAGAGGTCACCCCTTTTCACTTATCCTCAGGTTATGTATCTGCGTTATTTTACCAGATCTGCGTCCTAAACGACGACCAATCTACTTATAACATGAAATATCTTTCTTTTTTTTAAGTTATTTTTTTTGGGCCTTTTGGCCTTTATTTGATAGTACAATGACAGAAAAAGAGACAGAAAACTTGGGGAGAAGGACCCGTGGAAAAGGGCCATGAGCGGGATTCGAACCCACGACCTCCACATCGGGGACTGTAGCCCTATCCATGGGACACCAGGTCAACCAGGTGCGCTGTAACGTTGTGCCCAAACGTGAAATATCTTTGAGGGACAATTTCAACTGCAGTTTTCCACCTGCAAATAAGGGATTGCTGCCTCTACCTTGTGAATGAAATATGTACATCAAAAATGATTTCTCTTCATTCATGAAGGTTACATTTCTAAGAGCTCACAAGACAAGTAGAAACCAGATCATTCAAGATTCAATAGTGCTGATTTGACACACTTATGCAGCAAGGACAGTGGAATCCAAAGTGACTATTCCAGGAGGCTGTGAAGTAGCCAGACATGGTTAAAAAAAATCTTTATATAAAAGTAAAAACCAATGTTAATATTGTTAATTAAGTCTAAATCAGGATATTAGACACATGAAACACATATAGCCTAAACATCAGGAAAAAAATACAACAGTATCATCCATAATCATTCTAATGTCAGGCCTGATTACACTGTACATTTGTTTGGTCACAATTATTCAGTTATATGAAATGTTAATCTTTGCCGTGACCACAGACATAAAGTTGTGTGTATTTGCACATTATGACCCATCCAGACAGAAGCAGCTGCAGATGTTTACATATGTTTTTATTAACTGACTTTGAGATATACAAGGTATGTCTTTGCACATTTTTTACATCACAGTTTTGTCCCGTTTACATTTTACGCACTGCATATTTGCGATACAAATATATGACAAATATTTTATGAACTCACTCAATTTTCAGTATGTTTTAATAATTCTGTAGTTTTTGTGCCAAAAATGACGTTATATGTTCAGTGCTAGATGTGGGTTGTTGATTGTGAGTCTACCTGCTGTCACAAAGCAGTTTCCTGTAAAGGATCAATAATGCATCTGTCAATATCTGACCGAGCAATGAAGCTCACAATCAGGATCATTTTTTGCCATGTCACCAGTTACTATGTTCGTTACAGATCCCTGCTTAATAACAAACTTGTTGCACACAAAGACCAAAGCCAAGACCCTTCACAGGAGAACATCAACACTGTGTAGATGTTTTGGCAAGTTTTATTTTGAAGGGGCCATGATCACACTCCTGGTACTATTCTGTTGAACTTTCTATCTGTTGATCACAGGCATCCCTGAGGTGTGGAGTTAACAGATTTTGTTGTAGTTTAAAGTTTCATTCTGGATAAGTTGTGTGTTTCCTATAGGTTAACCTCATCCAAATGAATAAACAGCCTACACTGAGTATACTGGTGATTTTCTGTTTATAATCGCACAAATAAGATCATTTATGGATGTTCTCCCCAAAGTGATTTGGTGGTTACTGTAAAAAAGGATGACCTCTTGTGGTACAAGAAAGAAAGTACATCTTCAAGCAAAGTGACACAAGATCTGCTCATAGGAACACACTTAGAACTTAACAGCTCTCAAATGTACATAGACATTTTTCTTATAGTCCAGGCGACTAGTGCCAAACTTCAGGTGTTATGCTGTGGTAGTGAGAAAGCTGCAAACAGAAACACTGAAATCCAAGGAGTCAGCCCATGCTTAACAGATGTGCCTTCAACAAGCACTGAATCAGTCCTTGTATCATAAGGACAGAAAGAAGGATTGAGGTTTTAAAACTCATCCCAACATGCACACACGGACATGATATTCTAAAGTGTAGCCTACATCACAGATTTTCTTAATTCTCAGTGTCACTGTTGTCTATTTACCTGAACTATTCATGATGTTTTATAAGGTATCGTTGTAATCCTTGTCCATTTAAACATATAGGCAGACGGCACACAGAAAGTACAGTGGTGGTCAATAAGGAGTTTTTGCAAAGCTTCCATTTATGAAAATATTCAGAGCCCCAAACTTCACAAGTGCACCTTGTTTCATGCTTGAATCTACACCTTTTATTCATTTACTCTGCTACACTGAAAATGAAACCTCCGTATCTCAGTGTATCCCAGTTTAAGTAACGGCTGAATGAATGAGCATATATCACTTGGATAGTAACAGGTCCAGTAACACGTAACTGCAAAACCATTTGGGAAATGCAATACTTGACAGTAGCACAATGTATCTCAGAAGGAATATAATGTGTAAAGAAGGAATTCAGTGTAATGAATTTTTGGAGTATTAGAATGATTTAATCAAAAATGTAATACAAAGCAGAAAGTATACCACAACAGACATGCATGTACGAGGTGTGTCAGAAAAATTTCACGACTGGTGTCACAAAAGATATATTTAAAATCCAAACTACAAGTTTTCCTCTTCAAAGCAATCCCCCTGGAGTCTAACACACTTTCCCAGTCTTCTCTGCCACGCCGCCATGCACTTCCACAATCTTCTGCAGCTCCATCGTCACAGCCATCTTGATGTAGTCTTCAAAACAGATCCCCTTGATGAAACCCTTGAGCTTGGGGAAGAGAAAAAAATCCCACAGAGCCAGGTGGGGTGAGTAGGGAGGTTGCTCCAGCACAGCAATGTTCTTCTCAGACAGGAACTGTCGGATGCTCAGGACATTGTGAGCAGGCTCGCTGTCATGGTGAAGCAGCCACGACTTGTCCTGCCACAACTCTCGCCTCTTCTCGCACCTGAACGAAGCAAACGCCACAGGATCTCTTTGTTGGTTGATCGTCTGAAGGGGAAAACTTGTAATTTGGGTTTGAAAAATATCTTTTGTGACACCAGTGCTGGAACTTTTCTGACACACTTTGTATACATTTGCCAGAGTAAGAGCACATGCAGGTGGCAAATCAAAGCATATTCACACAGAAATCAGAAGATTGGAAAGTCAGTATAACCAATCTCACTGACATAAATACAGTGTGACAATGTAGTCTTCCAAATATACAGACAGCTTCCTCACACTGTTGTCACCATAATTAGGCAGATAATATACACATTTACAAATATGCCGCCCTACTGTGTTACCACACTGAAAAAAACAAAGAAGCTAACTGAAAACTCATCTTGTTCTTTTCATAACAGCATATAGCGGGTGAGGCCTCCCCCTCGGAGCTCCTTCAGGCGCTGACAGTGTCGCAGCATGTTCAGAATCCCTTGAAATCGTTTGTCCACCTTCGTTTGGGTAAATTCACGAATGTCATCCTCCACAATAAAATACTGACCTGCAAGACATTTTAATGCAACAGTGTTGTGTCCAAATCTTTGTACTCATGTCAAACTGAGTAGTTGTTTCTTAGCATCACTAGAGTGGTGCCACAAGAAGCCAAAAAACACCCCAACAAACAATACAGGGAATATAATTCAAATTCTACTGTATTGTTTGTTGAATACAACTGAGCACTTGTCTTTCTCAGGTCATCAAACATAACAGTTTTTATTTTAACATGTTGAATGGATATATAACGTTCAGAAGTCCAAGCACTGTTTGGGTGTTCTTCCCTGTCAAAATTGTCCTCATTGTGGGCTCATTTTTAACTGCAATATAAAGTCCAACGCATTTATTGAAACAGCACATTCAAGGCTAGAAGTAATAAGAACTCAAAAATATCTTCTGTGCAGTTTGAGAGTTATAACGCCATAAATAATAATTTTTTTTAAAAAAAAGGATCTAACATGTAGGACATTTTTCAAGTGCCAACAGGTGTTACCAGTATTTAAGTACTGACATTTTTAAAAACTTGGTGCTTTTACACCACCCAGGACAACTTACTCCTCTCTATACCATTTTTTTAAACCATGCTGCATTTATTTTAATGATCAAATACACTTTATTTTGCTCTGACACGCTCTCTTTTTTTGTGTAAACACAACCTTGCAGTTCACCTTTAACGTCAATGAAGTTTTGTTACGACTGCTGGTCAAAGCTGAATCGATAATGGAGTAGCTCAGAATTTTTTGTTAATCTACAGCAGGGGTGTCTAATCCTGGTCCTCGAGAGCCCCTATCCAGCATGTTTTAAATGTTTCTCTCTTCCAGCACACCTGATTCAAATGATCAGCTCATCATCAAGCTCTGCAGAAGCCTGATAACGATCCTGATCATGTGAATCAGGTGAACATCAATTTCTGTTGTTTTGTGGTTGTTATAAACTTGGAGGTGTCAAGTAAAAGTTGTTAAGATACAAAGATGTTTACTATTAGATATGCACTCCATTCCGTTAATGTGACTGAACATGTCAGCTTCATGCCTGACTTTGCACTCGTCATTTTCCCGTAAACGTCAAGCGGTTGCCCTGTCAAGCTCTAAAGACGTCTACTTCTGCCATTCCTCAAGTCCCCACCAACTAGTTACCCCCTCCAAGTTTTACAAGCTAGTAAGAAAACTCAGCTGCTACGTAACACCTAACTAACCAGTAGTTGTTAGGCTGAACCTGTGATTGGCAGCTCTGGCAGAGCTGTTCTCGCCCCTAAAAACTGAAAGACACACTGTGGGCATATGTGAGACTTTGATTGATTTGCTGAAAAGAGACACAACATCAGAGCTTTAAAGATAATATTTGGTTAATTTTGGCAATGGAACCACACATGACACATGATTAGTTCATGGACCGTCAGAAAGTTGAACATCCAATGATTCTTTCTGTTTTTACAGCTTCTATTTCTGATAAATAGTGTAATTCTGTAATCTGTGGGATTTTATGCATTGTGATTGGCTGATTGGATGTTCCTAATAAAATGCACTACATATTGTCTCAGTAAATGACTTGCGTAATGGTCATCCACGAATTCATATGCATTCAACACAAACAATTACAAATGTCTTAAGTGAAATGTTGACTGCATGTTACCTTTTGTGTCTTTGGTCTCCTGGTCCTTGAAGCGCTGGTGCAGCTTGCGTGCATGATTATTGAGCGCTTTCACCGGCTGACGGAGGATCTTGTACTTGGCTGTTACAGCAGCGTTTATGGTGTGTACTGCAGCATTAAGCTGGTCATATGATACACGTCCTTTCATGTACCTGAGGGACACACACACACACCAGAACATGAAGGTTTCATCTCATGATAACAGAAAAACTTCCTGTAATTCCCTTCCGAAGCAAATTAGGGATATTGGGCCATACAAAATAAAACATACATTTGCTAACATGTCAGTTTTCAGTTCTGGTCTGGAAACAATATTGTGCTTTGCTGCCACGATATTTTTGGTGGAAATGACACTTGAACCTAAAATGGAAATCTAACCAGTTGCTAAGAATTCTTGTATCTTCTACAAAATGTCTTCATCCTCTAAACAGCATTGCACTCCGACAGTGTCAGAGGAGTAAAATATCCCCATCACAACTGCCCTGACCACAACAGATGTCTTGTTCTTGTCAAAAATCCAAATAAAAACAAACAATACAAGCTTTTACAGATAACATCCAAACTGGTTGAATTTAGAACTTAAACAAGATTTGCTATAAGGGACAAGATCAAAAATTCCTGGTAGTGACACATATTGTATTTCTGTTATTTATAATACTTTCTTTACTTATCCCATCTAGTAGATTGTTTAATAGCAGTTTTTGTTTCATTGTTTGAGTATATGTCAAGAACATCATCACATATCACATAGAATGTCACTGTGGGATGATACTTACGGAGGGATGCCCTCAAACTCTGGCATAGTGATAATTTCCATCTCTCTGACAAAACTTTTGTTGGTCTTTTTAACCTTTTCTGCTTGGCTTGGTTGAACATCTACTGCTTCATTCTGGTTCGTTACAGGTTCATTTCCACTGAAAGAAGAGAGATCAGTCAGTCATTCAGAGGTGGAAGGCTGTATTCTAGGAGCAAAGTATGCCACGCTCAGATACAGTATCTGCATAGTCGAAACAAAAACAAGAAAAAAGGCAGGGAGGAGGTGTGAAGGGAGCTTGTGCTCTTTGATAGGGAGAGCACGTCTTAATAACCAATGCCACACTGATCCAATAATTACTTCTGTTCTTCTTTGAAAATAGTTAATAAGCTTCAATGGTAGATGAAAACATTTTTTTCTGAATATGTTCTGCCAAAGAGAATAATGAACTCACATCACTGATCAGCTGTTTTGGTTGTTCCCAATCCCCCTCTAATTTCTTCAACATATTCCCAATTGCATATGCACCAGTTTGTCTAACTATTTCAATGTTTCATTCATCTTTGTTTTGTGTGTTTTTAAGTACAGCATGCCCAGTGTTCACTTTAACATAACATCAAAACAAATAAAGCATCCCCTGGCGTTCTCACCTGAACGTGTCCTTCTTCCTGGGCATGTGTGGAGGTATGTTGTCTTTAAAGTGCTGCAAATCCCCCAGATCCTTCTGCAATAACTCCTCAACTGCCTTGAACCAAACAAAAGTGTCTCATCAATAACATACAAGACGATACATTTAACACGTCCAACTCACTACATATTTCACTCAAGATGATTTAATTATTTATATCTAACACATTTAGCAAATACTAGTTGTAGCTGATTATGTTTGGTACACAAACAGATGGTATTTAATGTAAAGCAGCTGTATAAAGTGCTGATTTTATGCCAACAACACAAATTAAAAGGCCTCTACCTCCAAATGCTTCAGTTGTTCTTTCTGTTGTCCAATACAGTTTTCAAATTCCTCCAGAAGTCTCTCGAGTGCAAAGAGTTCTTGTCCAAGTTTTTTCATCTTGTTTTGAGGCAATTCTAAACATGGAGAAAGACAAAGGATCACACCAGCACAAGTTAGGACATCAGCTTTACCTAATAACAAAACAATGTGTTAGCAGTGTTTTATCATACCAATAACTGACAGGTCCAGCATACACTGTAAGGATGATATCTTGTCATGAATGTGTCGGCTGACATCCTCCAGTTCACTCATTTTCCTGAAACGATGAGACATTAAAATCATTAAAAGAATCAATTTATCATTTGTAAGCCAGGAAATGTATGGACCAAACTAAACAAGATAAACTTTGGTCAAACAGGGGTAAACATTTACATCATATATAAGGTGAGTTATGAGCAACACAAATGAAAATAGAGAATTCACAAAACCAACCTTTCAAATGAAAAGAAAAGAAACAAATATACATGTATTCATAAGATTGCTAAATTATGGCAAAAGTCCTAATCGCAGTTATTACAGTAGATAGTGAGATCACAGCTATTCAACAGAATTACTACTTGACTTTGGAAACATCACACATCTACTGACCATTTTTTGAAGCAAAAAAATCCCCAAAAAACATTAACAGTGGCCTTCCTTGAACTTCAAATGCAATTCTACTGAAAAACAAATAAGAGAATATAAATATAACAACATAATATAATATAGCACCAGCACCAGACAGTAGCAGGGTGACTGGCATCAGAACGCACCCCAGCCCTGTCAGGGAAAGACTCCCCACGGTGGTTATCTGAGATTGGCGGAAGTTCTGGCTGTATGCTGCATGTTTTGTCCGTGTGAAGTGTGTAGTTCAGCCTTTTTCTGTTTGTTTGTTTTTTTACAGGGATGATTTTATTGATACTTATGACAATCGCCTAATTTCCAACTGAAACTGAACTCACCATTAAAATGATGATGTTGTAAGGGCATTTTAGCCTTCTATAAGGAGTGTGAAAATGGCTCTGAGGTGTTCAAACTAAATATCACCCAGTTTAAGTAGAAATAGTCGGTGAAACACGGCTTGGTGCTCTCTGGGTAGACAGAAGTCGTGGGCTTGTCCAGGTGCGTCTGGAAAGTGGCTGAGAGCAGG